CAGATCTCCTGGCTAATGCCTGTCAATCAACAGGACCCCCCTGGCCAATCCTGGAGTTTAGCCAACTCCCCTGACCAACTTCAAGGGGGCAAGGGACCCTAGAAACACCTTTTCCTGTCCCAAGCCCTTCCCTTCCTGCTGTAAGCCCCATAAAAGTCCAGTCCCCTCGAGCTTCCATGCTGTTTCTCCTCAGACCCTTCCCCTGTCCCCTCTGTGGGTCTGATTGAGTTCCACCGGGAAGTGATGTCTCAATAAAGCCTCCCCAACCTGATCTGACAGAGGGAATGGGGAAATGCTGGTGAATGAAATCTACTAAATTATACCATGTCTATATACAAATATACTGCAATGAATCCTTATATAAAATCATATTGCACTAATTAAAATACTAATATTAATACTAAGAATAATGGAAGAGATCAGTAATGTAGAGCAAGCAGGTCAGGGGGAGGGAGGAGGGGAGAAAAGGGAAGGAACTAGGGAATGACACTGACCAAATTATGTTATGTACATGTATAAATATGACATAATTAATCCTATTATGTATAATTATAAAGCACCAATTAAAAATATAACCAATTAAATCATCTAGCATAAGCCTTTTTTTTCTTTTTTTGGTACCAAGGATTAAATGCAAGGGCACTGGCCACTGAGCCACATCCCCAGCCCTATTTTATATTTTATTTAGATATAGGGTACAGGGTCTCACTGAGTTGCTTAGCACCACACTAAGATGCTGAGGCTGGCTTTGAACTTGTGATTGTCTCAAGTCTCCTGAGCTGCTGGGATTACAAGTTTGTGCCACTGCTCCCAGCTTGCATATGCCCTTTTTAGGCTAGTTATAAGTAGGAAGGTTTCCTAAGCTCTAGTGAAATTTTTAGGATGGCATCTTATGTTTACTGCATGAATAAAACTTATCTATTGGGGTATAAAAAATGCTATTCCATTGTCTGCTTACAAGTGAGGTGTGTGCATTTGGGGATGATGTTCAGTACAAAGTTAAAAAGAAAATGCTTTTTACCCCATTTGTCTCCTCCTTTATTCTAGGGAGTAAAGTTCTTGCATAAGTTCTTCTTTTTCTTGTTGTAACTCCTGCAAATGCTGTTGGTTTTGCTCCAATCTATCCTCCAACCACTGTAGGAGAGGCCCGCTGACTGCTGACATCTGACTGCACAGATTCTTGGTAAACACTTTAATAGGAAAAACACAGATTAAGTGGGTAGGGTGTGGTTGGAGGAGGTAGGCACTGGGACTGTGCCTTTGGGGTATATATTTTGTATTTGGCAAGTGGAGTCTCTTTCTCTGTTGCTGATCAGCATGTGAGCTACCTCCCTCCAACACACTCTTCCAACATGATATTCTGCTTCACCTTGAGCCCCAAGGAATGGTGCCAGCTCTCTATAGACTGAGACCTGTGAAACCATGAGCCCTCAAATAAACGTTTCCTCCTCTACAATTGTCTTTGTCAGGTCTTTTGGTCACAGCAATAAAAAAGGCTGACTAAAACATAAATCTTACCTGAACCATTATGGATCTTGGTTACTGAGTCCAGATGTGTAAGGCTAAAGGGATAAAATAGCTACAGTTAGTAGCAAAGAAGCACTAAAGGAAAACAAAATGGTTTCGAACAAAATGAAAACTGTGGGAGTCCAACCTCCCACATGACTGAGTTAACTCCCCTGCTGGACGATGTGGCATCAGACACCCAAGCTGCTAGACTGCCCCACTCTTCTAGGGTTCGAGTGACTTGTGTCTTCCTGCCCAGGCTTCTCTTCCTTACAGCTCCAAGGGTTTAGCTATGCTCACCTGTTCCTTGTGATATAACCCCTTGCCCTGTTTAGGATAGAATCTTCCATGGAAGTGCCTTGTGTGTGTCCCCTCCTCTTACTGTGCCCTTGGGTGTGGCCTACCCAGGTGTCAGTCAACCTGCTGACAGTGGCCATCATGAAGATGGACTCAGCCCCTTGAAACCTGACCCCTTGCCTCATTTGAATAGCTGCTCCTCAATAAAAGGGGTCAGCACGTGCTCTCGCTCTCTTTCTTCCTGCGGACCCTTAAGGTCAGATGAGCCATCACAGCGACCACAAAGAAAAAGGTATGTGTGCCTCTTGTTTTCCAGGAGTGAGCCCTGACCTGAGCCTTTTAGTCGCGAACACAAACCTGGCAATAAACAACCCAGGCCTTTGCATGATATTCAAGTTCCCATTATTATTATTTTTTAAATTTGAGATGGGGCCTTCTGAAGTTGCTGAGGCTGGCCTTGAACTCACAATCCTCCTGCCTCAGTCTCCCAAGCAGCTGGGATTACAGGTGTGTACCAACATGCCGGGCTCCTATTGTTATTATTAATTTTTAAATGATTTGGGGGATGTGATTTTATTTAAGTCACTGCTTCTCACTCACTGAAGCCTTGATATAATACATGTTCATTGCACAAGACCCAGTGCTTGCCAACAGAGATACTAAGATGTTGTAGTTTATCTTGTTTTCATAACCAAAAAGAAAAATATCCTACCCCTTGTATGATCCAAAGAAGATTGTTATCCTACAGTATAAGAAACATGGTTAGGGACTGTTATAAAGCTTTCTCAGAGAGAGATGAAAGACAAGGGAATCACGTGAGTCGAGATGCTACAGATAAAAAGACTAGGCCTCAAGAAGTAGAAAAGAGGGACAAAGAGAGGCTCTACCTGTGAATCCTCCTATATGCATCCTGTTCCTCCTGACAAAGGATCTTGGGCAGCTCCACTGCTGATTCAAGGCATACTTTTCCAATGGTGACATGGGGTACAATATGGATTGGAATTTCAATTCTTTCATACCTGCAAGGCAACCAGTTCAGGTCAGTTTTTGATCCTTAAGATATAATCAGAAGTTCTGTATAGTTTTTTAATTGACTCTAGGATATGGCATACTTCAAAGATTGACTCCATCAGATTCATAAACGGTCACTTGTTCTAACTCAGTGTTCACTAGCAGCCCTCATTTCCCACTATCTCCTGGGGGAAAAGGTAAGAAATACACATATACTTGCAATTTCATGTTACAGTGGAAGAACCAGGTATATATGTTACTAAGACCAACCAATTCACCTCTACACACTTCTCATATTAAATACACCTAAACTCTTGGGCTCAGCCAAGAATCCAGGTTGAGGACACTTGCTATAAAGAGGCCCATTGGTACATGGTGATAAAGCAGAATAAGATCTAATTCCCTGTTCTCTTTCCCACACAAGAACATGTGTCTACATCCCATAGCACAACCTAAATGGAGCACAAATATTGAGGAATTACAACCTTCCCTCCCCTCCCCATAACCATGTAGTCAGGAAAAAATTCATGAAAGAACATGCCATATCTGCTATATGCTTTTTGTTTTAGCACCAGGGATTGAACTTAGGGGTGCTTTACCACTGAGCCACATCCACAGCCCTTTCCATTTTTTATTTTGAGACAGGGTCTTGCTAAGTTTCTTAGGGCCTTGCTAAGTTGCTGAGGCTGGCTTTCAACTTGTGATCCTCCTGCCTCAGCCTCCAGAGATGCTGGAATTACAGGTATGTGCCAGGTGCTTTGAAGAAGGCTCTTTGGAATACTACAGAGTGACTATCATTGCTGATGGTTCCAACAATATTGAAGAAGTCAGTCTACAGGTATTCATTTGAATTTGTCAAGAGCATGGACAGAAATGATTCCAGAAGTCTACTGGCTTTGGATATACATCATCTTAATAAATTGCTAGAGGAAGCTTCTGCAGCTTCTGTTAGTTTACTTGATACTATAATGAGAACCAAGGAAGGTAGAGAGCTGCTGTTAATGAACTAGATTTTGGACCAAATAAAAGAGCATTTGTTATATAAATCATTGGAAAAACTACTGATTCAATCAGGTCAATAAATGGGAAAGCAAGAAAATTCATAGATATGAACTTCAGAGTTTAAGACAATTTTCCTGGAAAGGTACTTTCTGATTTCAGAGGAGGAAATTCATTTATTTACTTTTTAATATTTTATTTTTTAGTTACACTTGGGCACAATACCTTTATTTATTTATTTATTTATTTTTATGTGGTACTGAGGATTGAACCCAGGGCCTTGCACATGCTAGGCGAGCGCTCTACCACTGAGCCACAACCTCAACTTCCAGAGAACGAAATTTAAAGGATAAAAAGTTCAAGAGAGTTTTTATAACGCAAGAGTGCTGTGGATACAATGGCAATTTTAAATGAATCATGATCACGAGATGGACCTGAGTAGAGACCAGTACTGATACTTCTCCCTGTCTTGCATCTGACTTATCTCGGGACATAGACAGCTTTGCTTGGGTAAGCAGAAACCAGTGTGGATTTTAACAATCATGCGTGTGTATGTGACAGACTGCAATCTGCAGAAGCCCTAAACACAGAATTAACTCTCCTTCCTGTCCATTTTGACCAACAGGACTTCCTAAGAATGTGGAATCCTAGGATGTTGGGATTTGTGTTAAAAAGCAGATAAATCTTCATTATTTCATGTTTTTTAGCTCTAAAATTCCTGTTAGGAGGTGGAAAATGGATAATCATAGGGCAGAACTTACTCTGTGCTTGTATTCCAGGAAACCAAAGTAAACCAAAAAATAACTAAAGTAGCAACACAGTTCCGACATAGACAATCTCTGATTGGATGGAAGTGATAAGCTTCCTATCTGAGCTGCATGATATAAGAAAGGGCACACCTCTCCAGGAAATAGTATTTAGTCTAATATCTAGTTTACTTAATAATTAAGGATATTTATGTACCAAACATCAGAGCTCCTAAATATAAAGAAGCAAAGTTTGACAGAATTGATGGTAGAATTAGCAATATAATAATAGCAAGAGATTCAATACCTAAATTTCAAAAATGGATAATACAATAAGACAGAAGGTAAATAAGAAAGTAGAGGACTTTGACAACACTATATACCAACTGAGCCTAATGGACTATACAGAACAAGCCAATGAACAACAAAAGGATACATAGTCTTCTCAAGTGTACATGGAACTCTCTTTGGGATAGACCACATGTGAGACCACAAAGCAAGTCTTAATAAATTTTAACACTGAAATTATAGAAATTATGTTTTCTAATCACAGTCTAAGGAAATGAGGAATGAAGAGCTGGAGGAAACTAGAAAATCCACAGAAGTGTAAATTAAACAGAATTAAACACATTGCTTTTAACCAATATGTTAAAAAAAAAATCATATGATGAAACCATGAATCAAATGAAAACCTAAAAAGGCAACATAGTAAGCCTCATGTGATGAAGAAAAAGCAGTGCTAAGAGCAAATCACAATATTACTTTTATAACTGTGAACATGTACATTAAAAAAGAAATCTCAAATCAATAATCTAACTTTGCACCTCAAGCAAGTAGACACAGAAGAACAAAATAAACCTAAAGCAAGCAGAAAGAAATAGTAAAGATTAGAGATTAAAGGAATAGAGAATAGAAAATCAATAGAAATATCCCTGATTGAGTTAGATGCAAAAAAAATCCTTGATAAAATATCAGCAAATCATATTTAATAACATTAAGAAATTGTATAAAAAATAGAAATCATCTGATGCTAAAAGATTTTGCTTAATGACCAAATTGGTTTTATTCCAGGAATGCAAGTATGGTTTAACATACTCAAATCAATAAATATAATTAGTTACATAAATAGAATTAAGGACAAAAATCACTTAGGCATCTAAACATATTCAGAGAAAATCTCTGACAAAATTCAGCACTCATTTACAATAAAAACATTAGAGAAACTAGGGATGGAAGGAACTTATTTCAACATTACAAAGGCTATATACAAAAAACCTCAAAGCTAACCTCATATAGTGCTAGAAATTATGGTCAGAGGAATTAGGCAAGAAAAGGAAATATAAGGGATAAAAACAGAAAAGGAAGAAGTCAAGTGATCACTGTTTACAGATGATATGATCCTATACTTAGAAGATCCAAGAATCTCCACCAAAACACTGTTAGAGCTAGTAAACAAATTTGGCAAAGGAGCATCTAACAAAATCAACATACAAAAATCAATATTTTCCTATATACCAACAATGAATCTGCTGAGGAAAAAAATCAGGAAAACAATTCCATTCACAATAGCCTCAAAAACAAACCCTAGGACTAAATCTAACCAAGGAGGTGAAAGACCTCTACAACGAAAACAGAACACTGAAGAAAGAAATTGAAGAAGACCTCAGAAGATGAAAAGACCTCCCATGTTCATGGACAGGCAGAATTAATATTGTTAGAATGGCYGTACTACCCAAAGCAATATACAGATTCAACACAAAGCCTATCCAAGGAACAATGACATTCTTCAGATAACTAGGGAAAAAGTCTCCTAAAATTCATTTGGAAGAATCAAAGACCCAGAATAGCCAAAGCAATTCTGAGCTAAGACAGCCATGCTGGAGGCATCACAATAACTGACTTTAAGTGATACTACAGAGCTATAGTAAGAACACTGCATGGTACTGCCATACAAACAGAGACAYAGACCAGTGGTACAGAACAGAAGACACAGAGACAAACCCACACAGAAACCGTCATCTGATCCTTGACAAAGGTGCCAAAAACATACACTGGAGAAAAGACAGCCTTTTAACAAATGGTGCTGGGAAAACTGGTTAGCCATATGTTGAAGAATGAGACTAGACACTTACCTCTCACCCTGCATAAAAAAATCAACTCAAAATGGATCACAGACCTAGGAATTAGACCWCAAACTATGCAACTCCTTGAAGAAAATGTAGTGTCCACAGTCCCATATAGGTACAGGCAACAACTTTCACTGAGAAAATAATGTCAAGAGTTAGTAAATGGGATGGCATCAAATTTAAAAACTTCTGCATGACAAAGAAAAAATCTATGGGAGAAAGTCTCTGCTAGTTACTCTCTGGATAGAGGATTAATATTCAGAATACATAAGAAATTAAAAAACAAAACAAAAACAAATAATCCAATTAACAAATGAGCAAATGAACTAAACAGACACTTAAAAGAAGAAATAAAAGGGCCAACAAATATATGAAAACATGTTTAACATCATTAACAATTGGGGAAGTGCAAATCAAAACTATATGGAGATCTCATCTTATTTCAGTTAGAAAGGCAGCCATCAAGAATACAAACAATAATAAATGCCAAAGAGGATGTAGAGAAGAAGAAACACTTTTACACTGGTGATGAGATTGTACATTAGTATAGGTACTATGGAAATCACTGTGGAGGTTCTTCAAAAGAATAAGAAAAAAACCACCATGGGACCCAGCTACACAACTCCTTGGCATTTATCCTAAAGAATTAAAGTCATCTTACTATAGCGATACATGCATGCTCATGTTTATAGCATCACAATTCACAATAGCCAAACTATGGAACCAGCCTAGGTGTTCATCAACAGATGAATGGATAAAGAAAATGTAGTATGTATACACAATGAATTTTATTCAGCCATAATGAAGAATGAAATTATGTCATTTGCAGGAAAATGGATGGAACCTGAGAGCATCATGTTAGGTGAAATAAGCAAAACTCAGATAATCAAGGGTCATACTTTTCTCTCACCTGTGGGAGCCAAAGAGGTAAAAGGAAAAGAATGGAAAATTTTTTCTGGGAATAGAAATAACTAGTAAATGTAGAAGGAATGACAGAATCAGAATACTATCATTTGACAACCACTTTAGTAATGAATAATTTAGGAAAGATCATCACTTAATGCTAAAATTCCTCCCAAGAATCTTAAAGAAAAAATACCATAAATAGAGATAAAGAAGGTTACTGTATAATAATCA